TGCAAACCAAACTATTTTGGTAGGTTTTAATTTTCTTTAATCCTTTGACTTAACCCGAATATAAACAGTTGTGTACACTGCCAGTGTTGGTCAAGTTACTTGAAAAAAGTAATTAGTTACTAATTACTAATTACTTCTCCAAAAAGTAATCCTGTTACTTTGCTGATTACTTATTTCCAAAAGTAATTAGTTACTTTATTACTTAGTTATTTTTTAAAAAGATGATACACAACCTGAATATGTAATCAAGCAATAGACCCAATTCTGTTTTTTTGCATATAAAATTCAAAAAGTCTCTTTTTAAAACTTGTTTGATTAGTTTTAATCTTTTAACTTTATGCATCAAGCAAAAAATAAATTATATGTAATATTCTCTGACTTGAAGACATTTGTTTAGCATTTAAACCTATTTTCTGCATATTCCAGCATACAGAATAAAATAATGTTCTGTGTTTACACTCTTTCAAATAGATGCAAGTAAAACGGAGCAAAATAAATAAATTAAATCAAAGACTCAGTGGCACTAAGTCCTGTCGCTCTTAAAGCTATTGTCACCTGTTTAGCAGGGGTGGGGCAGGAGGTGGAGGTTTGCCCGGTGCTGCAGAGGTCATGTCAGTGAGAGGATTTGGGGGTTTCTTTTAGAATTTTACATTCTCATGGCAGCTTGCTCGGTGCTTGCTCAGATTTGAAGTTTAATTTTTTGCTGTAGAAAGAAGTTTTCTTCCCACACTGAGTGAACAGCGGACGCTAATGTTTGTGTCACTTTTTACGGAATCAAACTCAAAGTAGTGTCAGTACTTCCAAACTTTAAATGCAGCATGGATGGACTCTCTCCCGCACTCCATATTATCCATTGATCTACACACGTCTGTTGCCACGGATGTCACACACTCGTACGGCACTGTCATGAGACACTCTCACAAACAAAATCACGGTTTAGTAACATGCTTATGGGAAAGCAACTGCAATCTAATTATTGTTTTGCAATAGTAATCCCCTACTTTACTCGTTACTTGAAAAAAGTAATCAGATTACACGTTACTGCCCATCTCTGTATACTTGAAATTCACTGTGTCCTCCCCCTTTTTGAATACTCTTTCTCAAAAGTTATTCCAAAACGTACACCAGAGGTTGTAGCGGACCGTTACAGGCTCATTTTCAAAGCTTTGACAAAAATATCTAATCAGCCACTTAAATGGCAGCAACTCATTGCATTTAGGAATGTAGACAACCTGCTGACGTTCAAATGACGCATGAAGAAAACGGGTGATTCGAGTGACTTTCATGTGTAATTAATTAGGCTGGCCTAATTAATTCAGAAACTGCTGATCTACTGGGATTTTCCCACACAAGCATTCAGACAATTGTCTAAAAAGGAAAATATCCAGTAATCAGCAGTTCCATGAATAGAAATGTCTTGTTGGTGTCAGAGGTCAGGGGAGATTGGGCCCGATAGCATTGAACTAATAGTAAGAAACTAACTCGAATGTTACAGCTAAGTTTTTGTAAATATTGAAGCAGATGGGCTCCAGCAACAGAAGATCACGTTGAGTGCCACGCTTGTCAGCCAAGAACAGGAAACTGAGGCTTAAATTCATGTAGACTCCCCCAAACTGAATAATAAAAGATCAGAATCATGTTGCCTGGTCTGATGAGTGCTGAATTTTACTGTGACATTCAGATGGGTCACAGAATTTAACATATACAATATGAAGACATGGATTCATCCAACCATGCATTAATATTTCAGGCTGTAATGATCTATACTATCAGTCAAAAGTTTGGACACACCTTCTCATTTCGTGTTTTTTCTTTATTTTTACTACTTTCTACACTGTAGATACAAACTGAAGACATTGAATATATGGCGCATAAATCCAGATATAAATATAATATATATCTGGATTTATGTAGCAAAGGCAAAATGATAAATAACTCTAAATATGTCCTATATTTTAGATTCCTGAAAGTAGCCACCCTTCGCTTTGTTGATAGCGCTGCAAACCCTTGTCAGGGTTCATTTGTTGAGTTTCTTGCCTTCTTAGTGGGGTTGGGACCCCACTCTTAAAATTCATATTATGGCAAGAACAAATCAGCTAATTAAAGAGAAACAACAGTCCATCATATGGATAAGAACCTATAAGAACTGAATGTTAGTCAGTAGGTAAAACTGCTAAAACTTTGAATGTGCAGTTGCAAAAACCATCAAGCGCTCTGTCAAAGCTGGCTCACATGCTACTGAGGATAAATTCATCCAAGTCACCAGCCTCAGAAATTGCAAGTTAACATCCCCTCAGATCAGAGCCCAGATAAATGCCACACAGAGTTCCAGTAGCAGACACATCTCTACATCAACTGTACAGAGCAGACTGTGTGAATTAGGCCTTTATGGTCAAACAGCTGCTAAGAAACCACTACGGAGGAAAAACAACAAGCAGAAGAGATTTGTTTGGGACGAAAAACACAAGGAGTGGACATTAGACCAGTGGAAATTTGTGCTTTGGTCTGATGAGTCCAATTTGAGATCTTTGGTCGACCTGCCATGTCTTTGTGCGATGCAGAAAAGGTGAATGGATGGTCTCTACATGCATGGTTCTCACTGTGAAGCATGGCTGAGGAGGTGTGATGGTGACACTGTTGGGGATTTATTCAAACTGAAGGCACACTGAACCAGCATGGCTACCACAACATCCTGCAGCGACATCCCATCCAATCCTGTTTGTGTTTAGTTTGACCATCATTTATTTTTCATCAGGACAATGACTCCAAACACACCGCCAGACTGTGTAAGGGAGGGAGAAGGAGAGTGATGGTGTGCTGCGTCAGATGGCCTGGTCTCCACAGTCACCTGACCTAAACCCAAGCCAGATGATTTTGGAAGAAATGGACGCAGAGTGAAGGCAAAAGGGCCAACAAATGGTCAGCATCTCTGGGAACTCCTTCAAGACTGTTGGAAAACCATTTCAGGTGACGACCTCATGAAGCTCATCGAGAGAATGCCAAGAGTGTGCAAAGCAGTAATCAAAGCAAAAGGTGGCTATTTTGAAGACTCTATAATATAAAGATGTTCATCACACCAATATGAATCAAAGTTTCCACTGAATGTTTTCAGCATCTTGTTTGACCTGTGTCAGAATTAGGGCAGGTAAGGTCTAACCTGGTAATAGTAAGGTATAATTAACAAAGTGGCCAGTGTAAATAGTTTCCACGGATCTTTGGCAGATATTTCTACAACTTGACTGGAATCCACCTGTGGTAAATTCAGTTGATTGGATATGAGGTCTGATTTGATAAATACGGTCCCATTGTTGGCAGTGCATGTCAGAGCCTAAACCAAGACATGAAGTCCAAAGCATTGTCTGTAAATCTCAGAGACAGGATTGCATTGTGGTTCAGATATTGGGAAGGATACCGAAAAATTCCTGAAGCACTGAAGGTCCAAATGAGCACGATGGCCTCCATCGACAGTAAATGGAAGAAGTTTGAACCAACAGGACTCATCTTGGAGCCAGTCACCCAGTGTTACGGCCCTAGCAGGGCGTTGAATTAATCATGGGACTGAATGTTTTATTTCAAAGACTATAGAAACTGAAACAAATGTAACTGTCAACTCATATTGGGCCACAAATTAGCTAAATTTTAGTCATTGCAATGATTAAAATGTAAACTGGTTTACTGGACTATTGGTGATGTAAATGCTAAAAATACAGGTATTTTACGATGAAAGGTTTGAGAAAAAGCCGCTATCCAACCAAACAGCTAAATCTACCAGTGTGTGAATGCGAGTGAATGAATAGTGGAATTGTAAAGCGCTTTGGGTGCCTTGAAAAGCGCTATATAAATCCAATCCATTATTATTATCATTTTTCAAGAAAGTCTTTTAGCGCTACATCTGCAACATTTTTTTTTATTAAGCAGTATTTATCAGTCCTATTTTGCTCAAACCCCTCCTGCATTTTTCTTCTCTTGAGAAAATGGGGAGAAAAGACCAACATCTTTTTTCAGTGTATCATTTAATGTACTCTCACAAGTTGGTGAACAGGTAAAACTTTTTTGCTCACTGTACTAAATCACACATCCATTGATAGTATAAATAGCCAACCTAATAATAATAGTACACATTTTCAAATACATAAAATCATCAAGTATCCAAGTCTTAAGTTATGGACATCAAATAAAAAGGCATACAAAATATTGCAGATGTTGGAAGTCCAGTTTGAAGCGCACACACACACACAAACAAAACTAAACAAAAATAAACCAAAAAAAAAAGGAAAAATGAAAAAGATCACATTTTTATTTTAACATGGCAGTTAATAAGTAAACAGAAGGTCTGATAAAGACTAAAAAGTTCCTAGACTTTCAATTGACAAATATTGCAACAGTTAAGCATTTATAATAAAAAATAGTTACTGAAAGGGCATAAGTGTGTGTAAGACTTCCTGCACAAGACAAAGGCAACAGTTTAGGGTTTTTTTTGTTCCAAGTAGAAAAATGAAACACCTTTTCCAAATGCCAACAGGAGCCGACTCCTGCTCGATTGCCTTTGTTCCACTTCCGATTGTAAGGCATTTATGGATGATCCATCTGATTTGAAGAAAGGCATACCTCTTTCTAGTCAGTCTTGAAACTGAATCCTAAAATTGAACAGGGTACACATAATTGTTCACATCAAGAAAACATTTCTTTAACCTATTTTCTTTTCTTTCTTTTTTAAACACATTTTCAGGCAATGTGAATGCACGGGCCAATCAAAATCTTTGGGATGCATTTTCAGAAAACAGTTAATCCAACATCTTACAATGATACACGACTCTTCCTATTTTTTTTTTCTGGGCACATGAAGAAAAAACTCTGTTCACACAACTCTTGTTTTTCATTTTTTTTGACATTTAATTTTGAAACTAGAAAGGGAGGGGGAATTTCATTTACCAAGCATGGTTTTCCAAATTAAAATACAACACAATGAAGAAAAAGAAA